CCCAACCCAAACCATCCTGTGACCCTGTGTATGGGATGACAGAAACCTCATTTTCTTCATCTCAGCGCTCCTGACGGAGCTTCACTCCTGGAGGCGAGTGTGGGCTTGTGTTCATCCCTTCTCTAGCAGAGAGCATTTGGTGTCCCACCCCGTCGCACAGGGTTTCTGTCCCCCGCACCTCGTCGTCAGAGACAGGTGGCAGCTGGTTTCCTAGAGCCGCGGTGGCTGCAGGTCGGCTTCCGCCCGGGGCGGGTCACAGCGTTTCCAGACATCTCTGGAACCCCGAGCTCGGTGCTGGGCTGGAGAAGGACGCCAGGAAGACAGGACACGCCGTTAAGCTTGTGTGGCTTCTGGAGTACCATCCGAGGTTCTTCCCTCCGTCCCCCAGAGCAGGAGAATAGTGCAGGGAAAGCCAGTCGGCCCGAGCAGAGGAACGCGATTGCCACGCGTGGAGTGGTTAAATGGATGAGGACTCTTCGCCCTGGGAGAGGGGAGGGAAGTCTGGAGTACGACTGCTTGAAGGTGAGGGAGTGTCGAGCACAGGTAGCGTAAGTTACGTCACGGCAGGACGCAGTGGGGCTGAAAGGCTGCGGGAGTTGGGAAAGCAAACGAATCGTTGAGGGTCGTTAGGTGCAGGAAGCACCACGGTTGCTTCCCAAATCCTTGGAGATGCTTTCCAGCTTCTGCTGTTCCCTGGACATCTGTTGCTGAGTGTCACTGGAGCATGAGGAGCCAGACCTTTGGTCTCTCTCGGGACAGCTTTGTGTATTCCACTTTTTCTGCGAGAGGTGGTTCCTTTCGCCACAGCGCAACGCAGGCGGCAGAAATTCAGACAGTCGGGGAACGCCGTACGTGTGGAAGGCGGATCTTGAGCTCCGCGAGGCGCGTTCTGGGCGAGCCGACCTGGAGCGTCAGCCACTGCGCGCCTGCCGCGCTGCCCTCCTTCCCGCTGGCCGTAAGGCACGGAGCCCCCAGACTGACCTTCGGACTGACCCCGCGCAGCAGCCCTCACGGGCTTCTGCCCCGCTCCTGGGCAGGCCTGGCTTTCGGTCACGGGCCCTCGCAGGTGGATCGGGCAGAGCCGGCGCTCTGGGCTTTGGCTGCTGTGGAAGACTCTGGGACGTGGCTCGGCTGGG